AAAAAAAAAAAAAAAAGTTTAACCTGGTCCCACTGAGGCAAGAGGATCTAAGTTCAAGCCCAGCCTGGGCAACTTAGTGAGAGCTGTCTCAAAATGGAAACACTATAAGAGGGGCCAGTGACATAGCTCAGTATAAAGGTTCTGGGTTCAATTCCCAGTATCACCAAAAACAAACAAAATCACTAATTATTTAAACGTTAGTAAACTTTTAAGCTCACAAAGGTGTGAACAAATTTTTCAAAATCCTCGTTTTTGCTTAAAAGTTTGAGTTTTATCACTGGCAACAAACACCACCAATTATTTTCCATAAAGTAACAGGCTCACTTTGATTTTGTATATTGAGTTTGCATCCTGACAACTTGCTAAATTTGATTATTAGTTTTGTTAAGTTTTTTGGAAATCTCTCCAGATTTTTTATCATATGGTCATGTCTTCTGAAAACAAAGACACTTTTATTTCCCATCTATAAAAAAAAGTTTAACCTAAATCTAATGAAGCCTTTATAACCAATTTTCTATTTCTATGAAGTAAGATAAAGGAGCAGGTCCAAAGATATCACAATGACATTCTACAGGACAAATCTAGTTTCTGACAAATTTCTGTCACAAGAAAAAAGGGGACACCTGCTAAGAATACAGACTGAACCATGAACACTCTGCTAAACATTAAGGTTTACAGAGATATGTAATCGGTTCCTATCCTCAAGTAACTTATTGAGAAATCTGTTCAACATGTGAATATTAACAAACCAAACTTTTCTGAGTTCTTATTTCTTTAAGGGTCACAAAAATAGCACAAAAGACAATATATCAAAGTGTTATTAGTACCATTTTTCAGCCTCCATAAGATCCTGATTCACACTGTTGGTGCTGTGTTCTCTGGCATCAAATGTCCTGATCTGAGGATATTCTGTTTTTCCTGCACATGCCATTCTCATTTTTAAACTGAAAGCAGCTTGTGCTATCTGCTTATAATGCTTCCTGCTCGTCAAGATCTGTTGCTTCACTTCATGTACAGCATCTAAAAAGAAGCATTCCACTTCTGTTCTCTCATCCAGTATGTTCTTGGCCAGCTTCTTTACTCGGTTCATTTCCCTGTCCTTCATCTGAAGAAGCTGCTGCAGCTTGTCAATTTCTACCTGACCTGCTTGGTTCTCTATCACTGCCTATTGCTTCATTTTCAAAACTTCAGCCTCAAACTCTCTGGTTATAAAACTCAGAGCATTCTCCAAGTTTACCACCTTCTTCTGAAGAATGTGGATTTGTGCTCTCTGCTGGGTAAGTTGCAAAATCTTCTCCTTAATTAGTAGTTCACTGATCTCCTAAAAACAGAAAGAGGTAAAGGTTGTTTTTTCTTCTTTTTTCTTTAATCATTCTAGAACCTACAATCTCCTCCATAATTTCTGTTACTTCTTGAGATTTAAGTCTGACACCAGAATGAGGTGATCATTTTGGTATTTCTATGTATAGAAAGTCTGGACTTGTGAAGGCAATCCACTGATTTTGCTAATTACAAAACGCTTCCTCTAAAATTCTGAAAAGTTATTTTATATTATCAAAACCAATAAAACTAGACAGTAAAATATTAACAGTTATCTAAAGGAAACTGTGGTAGTCTCCTAGTTGCCTTTCTCAATATCCACCTTTCTTTTCCCTTTCTTCCTTAGTAATAAAACCCCAATTTTACTGGGCATTAAGCCCAGCTGAAAATTTCCCAGTCTCTTTTTTTGTTTTGCTTTTTTGAGACAGGGTCTCGCCATGTGGTTCAAACTACCTTGAATTTACAATGTAGCCCAGGCTGGCCTTGCACTTCTGGCAATCCTCCTGTCCCAGCCTCCCAAGTGCTGGGATTACAGGTGTGTGCCACCATGCCTGGCCTTCTTATATGTTCTTTATAAAGTCAAGTCTAATGCTTCTTTTTTTCTTCTTCTTTTCTTTCTCTTTTTTTTTTTTTTTTTTTGAGACAGTTCCTCTCTACAGTTCAGACTGGCCTTGAATTCACTATGTAGCCCAGGCTGGCCTGGAACTGCAGCAACCCTGCTGCCTCACCCTCCTAGTGCTGGGCTTACAGGTGTCTGCCACCATGCCTGGCTTTAAGTCTAATGCTTCTTACAAGTCATTCAGTATTAATCTTTTCAAATAAGGAAAGTACATCATCCAGACAGAAGAAAAATGGTCCTATTGTCCTTACATATCATTATTATACTCAATTATTAGTATTCACCAAACCAATCCTTAAAAAAGATAAGAAACAAAGTCTAAATGAGAGTGAGAACCTTTTGCTGTAACAGATTGGTATGACTCTCTTTCAAATTCTGGAAGGTTTTTTGTAGAGCATCAGCTTCCTTCAGGTGATATGCAAGAGCTTTCTGGAGATGAACATTCTCTTTAAAAACATTTCTTCCAGCAGCATTCAATTGCCTGAAATAGACATAAAATCCTAAAATATAGGCTACTTTTTATTTTATTTTTATTTTTTGGTACCGGGGATCAAACTCGGGTCCCTGCGCTTTCGCAGCAGGCGGCGAAACCACTGAGCTAAATCCCCGGGCCCTAGGCTACTTTTTAAATATTACCAAATGAGAATAATGATTGCTTGACCCTCTAACATTAATAATAACCATCACTGGTCTGGGTATGTAGTTCAGTGGTACAGCACTTGCCTACCACACGAGGCCCTGGTTTCAATCCTCAGCACACCCCCCCACACACACACACACAAAGCCACCACTCATTAACTTATAGTGGGTACTCAACAGGTAGGAAGGGATCTTGTGACTAAGTTCTTAGCCCATAGGAAGGTGAAAAATAATGTATTACTTTCAAATACAAGTTTTCCATGCTTTCTCCTGTCAACACAGTTGAACCTGAAAATATCCTAGGAATCCAAAATGACAGAGGTACAAGATGGAAGCAGCTCAGCTTCCTGAATCACCATCAGAGAAGAGCTGCCAGACCCACAATGGATTGTTATAAGATGACCAAGAAACAAACCATTGAGACCTGGGAGTTAATTTGTTAATATAATGTACCTAGTGTTACTTCTGCAAATATACCACATGATAATCTTTCAAGCTTGCTAATATTAGTCCCATTTTTAGATGAAGAAATTCACTAGGTGTGATCAAAAAATACACTGATTTTTGGTTTGGTTTTGTTTTAATCACAGTAAAAAAAAAAACACATTGGCATTTAGTTCCCCTTAAAATACTCCCTTCTCACTCCAAACACACTTATCCCATCATTCTTGACACTTTCTAAAGCAGTCTGGCATCCTTTTTTTTTTTTTAAAGCAGTGGCAAAGTTTATTCAAGAAAGCAAAAATGAAGAGTGGGAGAGAAACTGGCTCCCCAGAGCAAGCTTGGATTGAGTAAATAGAAAATGAAGGTACACACTGCATCTGGGAAACACAGCATGGGCTATCATGGAAAGTTATTGTCTTTTTTTTTGTACTGGGGATCGAGGCATGTGGCAGAACCACTGAGCTAAATCCCCGGCCTATCATGGAAAGTTATGATAACCTGGCATCCTCTCTTATGAGTGTTTGGTTACACTGTCATTACTCCTTCGATGTCCTGAATCACTTCAAAACATTTATCTTTCATGGCTGTTTTGACTTTGGGGAAGACCCAGAAGTCACATAGTGCACTAGATCTGGTGAATAAGATGGACGAGCACACATTATAATGTTTCCATGAGCTTGCCTTTCCACTAGATGGTACTAGGCAGCAGCATTCACTGTATTTTTTATCACACCTTGTAAAAACACTCATAAAAGAGGACTTTTAAAACTGCTTCAGAAGGGCCAGGGATTTAGCTCAGTGGTTCCACCGCCTGCCGCACAAAGTCCCGAGTTTGATCCCTGGTAACAACAAAAGAAAAACTGCTTCAGAAAATGGCAAGAAATATGTGATAAGTCCAACTGAAGCAAGGGGGATAATGTTGAGGAAGATTAGTGGCAACATATCTTTTACTGGTATAATTTTTTAAAATTTAAAGGTTCCATGTATTTTGATCATACTTTGTAATTTCAAGAAAGTTAAGAAATGTTGCAATGTTCAGTTAGTATACATGTTGAGACCCAAGGTCCTACTTCCAAAGCCAAGGTTCTTTTCACCAAAGCACGGTGCTACAAAAAGAGTGAAGGGAAGGGGGAAGGGGAACACAGAGAATGAAACAGTGAAGGAGAACCTAACAGGGCATTTAAAGAAAGCACACCATGAGATGAGGGGGAAGACAAAAAGCTAAGAAGAAAATAGATCAGCAAAGAAGGAAGAGAGGCTACCAAAAAAAAAAGGAGGTAATAGTCTCTTACACCATGGCTTCATGGTGGGCTCTTTCTGCTAGGATTATTATCTTCTTTTCGGCCTCTTGTTCTAGTCGGTGCTAAGAAAAAGAAGACAGGCTGTATAAACACAGAGCTATGCTTCTTACAACAAATTTTATACAACAGAGAGCAATTATTTCAGGACTGGAGGTGTAACTCAGGGGTAGAATATTTTTCTAGCATGCACAACACCCTGAGTTTGATACCCAGCACCACCAACAACAACAAAAAAATTATTATTTCAAAATATTGAATAAAATACTCCTGTTCACATGGCCAGATGTGAAGAATTCTAAGTACTGGTTAAGTAGCCAACAAGAAAAGAGAGTGTGAACACAAGAACCTTAGGGTACCTCCCAATTTCCTCATTAAATAAACAACATGAAACATACATGGGGTGGGAGTGGGAGGCCACATCCATATGAGAAACCAGAGCTGAAAGAAATTTCTGCTAAATGCAATAGGATGAGTCAGTCATTTACCCATTGAACACTATTACTGTTCCAGGTTGTTTCAGATACCAATGATTCTATGGTAAAATAGGCAAGGCCTTTGATCTCATGAAGCTCATATTCTACAGCAGGATCCAACATTAATCCATAACTATAACATACTGAGCATTTACTATGTGCCAGGTACATTTCTCAGAGCTTAATATGTATTATTTACTTCTCACAACAACCCAATGAACCAGATCCCCAAAAGCAAGGACTGAAGAAAAGAGAGGTTAGTGGCCTGCCCAATGTCACACAGCTAGTAAGTAGCAGTTAAACATAAGCAACCTGATGTTATATAACCTCCCTAACAAGGACACTAATGAATATTTAATAGAGTTAATAGGCTCTGATAAGTGCCATAAATGAAATAAATGAGGTGATTAGATAGGTAGTAACCGGGGGACATTTCAGGTTGGAGTTTAGAAAATCTTCTGAGAAAATGGCGTTTAGGGCCAGGGATTTAGCTCAGTGGTTTCGCTGCCTGCAGCGCAAGCACAAGGACCCGAGTTCGATCCCCGGTACCAAAAAAAGAAAGAAAATGGCATTTAGCTCTGAAGAATGAGAAGGAACCAGAGCAAGAAGACATTCTAGGAATAGACACTAACATGTATGAAAATAAGACAGTAGGACAGTACTTTGCAGTTCAAGGAACAGAAAGGAATAAATAGGAAAACAAAAGGAAGCATCTAAAACCTGAGGAAATCCTTTATGTGACCAAGTAGAGCACACTGAGGTATGAGGTGAATGAGCAGACCTATTGAAAAGCTTCCTGGACCAAACCAGCATGGGAGAAATACCGGTGAAGTCTCTACCTACGAGGTGAGGCAGGCACTGCTGTGGATAGACAACCAACACTTAATTCCCATTCTACTTTTTCCTTCTCAGCTTCTACTAGTGGTTAAAGAAACAAAACACTCACTTTCCCAACATCCTTATAACAGTTTTGGCCAATGAGATATAAGAAGAAATCTAGGAGATTCTAAGAAAGCTTTTATGCTTTCCATATAAAAGGGACAAATACAGCTGAAGCTTTGCCTTCTTTCTTACCTCAAACACAAATAAAACCTGGAACACAAATAAAACTTCCTACTGAGATATATCCCCAGCCCTTTTTACATTTTATTTTGAGACAATCTTGCTAAGTTGCTAGGTTGACAAGGCTGGACACAAACTTGTGATCCTCCTGCCTCAGACTCCCAGAATTCTGGGATTACAGGTGTGCAACATCATACCTGGGTAATATATATAATTTTTATGCTTTTATATATCAAAAATAAATTTTAAAAATAAAGAATCTCTGAATGGAAAGGGGAAAAGGACTAGACAACTGAGACTTCTTTTTGTTGTTTTTTGAGACAAGGTCTTGCTATGTATTTCAGGCTGGCCTCATGGCAATCCACCTGCCTCAGCATCCCAAGTGCTGGAATTACAGGCGTGTGTCATCATACCTGGCTAGACACTGAGATTTCTAGAACAAAAGGCTTTGTTTTTGAAGTTTTGTTCTGCTTTTATTCAATACAAATCTAACAAAATACGAGATGAAAAGTCAGTATGTCTCAGAATGCATGCAAATTACTTATGTTGTTCTAATAACTAAAACATTTCCCTGTTAATACTAAATATTTTGTACCTTTTCTTCAAAAAATCTGCCTTCCATTCTTCTAAGAGTCTCTAGATGTTTCTTCTCTGTCACCCTTAAATTTTCTTTCAGCTACAATTAAAAAACAAAAAATGGTCAGTGGGAAATAGGGGTTATTGGAGTATATCCCTAGAAAATACTCAATAAAGAAACATTTTCTGACACCCTGACCAAGTTGGATTTATCCCAGGGATGCAAGGATGGTTCAACATACATAATCAATAAATATAATAAAGTATATTAACAGAACCAATGACAAAAACCATATGATCATCTCAATAGATGCAGATGCAGAAAAAGCATTCCACAAAATTCAACACCCATTCATGATAAAATCCCTACATAAAATTGGAATACAAGGTCTTTATCTCAACCTGATTAAGGTTATCTATGAAAAACCATAGCCAACATCATACTAAATGGTCAAAAGCTGAAAACTTTCACGCTAAAATCAGGAACAAGATAAGGATGCCCACTATCACCACTCTTGTTCAATATACTTCTGGAAACATTAGCCACAGCAATTAGA